GGCGTCCCCAGAACCTTTATGATTTCGACGAGCTGATCGATGCCAGATTCTCCGGGAAAGAGTGGCTGTCCCAGCATCAGTTCGGCCATGACGCACCCGGTGGACCAGACGTCTGTCGTACTCTCGGTCAGCTGGCTGCCTTGACCATTGCCGGTGGGGGGAATTAGGGCGCTTACCAATCTTGGTCGTGTAATTTGTCGCCCCAAAGATCAGCTCGGGAGCCCGGTAGTACCGCGAGCAGATATACGACACGTTGGGTTCGTTCTCGACGAGTATCTTAGCGCTGCCGAAATCGCAGAGCTTCAGCACGCCGGTGCTGGGGTCCAAGAGGAGGTTCTGCGGCTTGATGTCGCGATGGCAGATGCCTTGTGAGTGGATGTAGGCCAGGGCGCGGAAGAGCTGATAGATGTACAGCTTGACCTCGAGCGTCGGCATGGTAGTCTTCATTTTATTGAAGAATCTCGATGCTCGATACACGGTTTCCGGAACGAACTCCTGCACCAGATTCAGATAGACCTCGTCTTTCTGCCATGGTCAATGAGCACAGATCCTTCTTCAGCGCTGCATCTGGAAGGGGTACACTTACGCGCTCGCCGTTGGAGTAGTAGAAGGCCTTCAGCTGCACAATGTTTGGGTGCCGCACAATCCTCATGATCTGCAGCTCGCGGTTCTTGAACCTCTTGTCTTGCAGAACCCGCTTAATGGCCGCATCCTCATTGGATGGCGACAGCTTGGTCTGGAAGACGACGCCAAAGGAACCGTTGCCGACGATTTTGCACTGCGTGTACTGAATCTCGCGGGTCTCCCCGGTGACGCCGTCTTGTACCTTTTCGCGGATTACTTCTGCGTCGCATTGTCAGTATGCCTCTGCAACCGGCGCACATTGCTCTACAAAAAAAAAGAAAAGCCAGTGGGTGCGCCCGTCTCACCTCCCATCCGCAAGGTGTTGAACGCTGCTGGCCTATTTGACGCCATCGCTGAGGTGCGCAGTCCGTGCTACCGTTGGGGGCAGCGAAGTGGTACTGGTGGTGGGAGTGAAGAGGGATAAACCGGGACAAAGTCGGTGCCGGCCGTGTTGGGCAATAGAGTGGATGGGCGCTGTCGAAGAAATGATATGATGCAGGTTTGGTGGGCTCAATGATCGGGCCCGAATCCGGAGATGTTTGCGGGAGCAGTCGCGCGGATGGTTTCGAGGTTCGTTTGGGTGCTGGAGGCAGGTTGCCCGATGCCGGGGTCGTGCGATGCAGCAGGGGAAAATGAGGCGGGGGTTTCCAGCTGCGAGAACTGGAGCGTCGTTGTGGCGTTGCCGTTCGATCAACAAGTCTGTTGGAAAACGCGACGTGAGTCATGCAGGTGCGATGGCCTGGCGACGAGCTGAGGGAAGGCGACGTGAGGTGGTAATGGGAACCTGGGGTGTTTTGCGAAAGGAAGACGGGAGGTGAAGGAAAAGCAGAAGGCAGGTAGGGTGATTTCAGAGGCCGGCCAGAGGTTGAAGTGACGGGCGGGAGGTTTTGGAGGGGCGGCGCCCTGGCCAAGTGAAATGACGGGGAGCGACAGGGCACCTGGTGGCGAGCACCCACAAGGGCCTCCCCGAGCCAGGGTCAAGTGGACTCTGCGAGGATGCGAGACGCATGGGACTCGACAACAACCTTGTCGACAGCAAGCCAGAGCAGCACTGCGCCTATATTTGCGATTGAGAAAGGGAAGACGAGACCGGCTCTCAAGCCTGGGACTGAGTACAACCCTTGGGTGACCCGAAAATTGGAGAATATTTGGGTGTAAACGGGAAACCAAGAAGCAGCGCTAGCATGAAACGGACAGGTAAGATCGACAGAGGCAAGTGTCTTCAGCTTCTGCCGCAACATTCCTGCGATTGCATGCTGCTGCGAGCTCGCACATCTGGTGAGGTCAGATGGCCAGCGTCTTGGCGCTGTGTACGATCTGCCGCAGCCAACCACAAGCAGGCCAAAAGGAGGGGTCGAGGGTTGAGGGGCCCAGGTGTTGGTTGGGAGGTAGCCCAGGTGAGTGCTTTGGGACATCTCGGTGTACTTGGGGAGAGGGGACAGAAGAAGGTTGCAACGACTTGAAACTTGACAGCCCGAGACCTGACACTTACGCGCGCTTGTATCTCGTGTCGCAGCCAGATTGTGTGCAGACGCTCTTGAAGTTGGAGGAGCTGAGGATTGGCGAGATTGAATGGCTCGGGTCGCGTGGTCGTTCCGGCCCGCTTGTCACCGCGCGGTTCGGTGGGTAAGTTCACTGCAGTAGCTTGAATGCACCTCTACCACAGTAGTCGGCAAGCTGGCTCGTGGTGGACTTGAAAACGCGCAAATGGTCTTGTTGCTTCAGAGGTTCCGGGACTTTGACATGCCTCAATCCACACTTTGGATCAACAAAGAGGGAGACCGGGGACTTGCAAGCTTTTGCGGGCGATCGGTCTCAATTCGCCCAGGATTGGAGCCGTGCTTCCCGTCTGGTGGGCAGCTGATGGTCAGTGCAACCTTCGCGCCGTCAGCTTCTCGCTTGGTAACAGGCGAGTTGTTCGTGCAGGAAGGGTTTTTGGGGCATTGGTATGCTGCCGCACAATGCAAACTACAGAGTAGTAGCCGGAGGTCAAGAAGCTACCTTGAGAAGGTAAGGAAGAGCGTTTCCTCAAAGGGTTGTGACGTGCTGAAAGAGGTGTGTCTGGTCCTGGCCTGGAAATATCTTCAGGAAGGTAAGGTCGGGAAGTCTCAGCAACAAGCTCAAGTGGGGTCGCTTGCCGGCCGGCGTCATGTCTTCCATTGCTCGGGTTTGGGTCTTTGGAAGTCTCGAGAAAAGTGGGCCTTTCTTGGCGTCTTTGTCGCCGCAGTCTGAAGCCTGATGTGGGCCAAAGGTCACCTGCCAACCTCTCTCGCTTCTAGACGTACGTCGTTCAGGTCAGTCATTTCTACACCGAGATTGATAAACCAGCTCAATGAGAACTTGGGGAGATGAACAATGCTTGTGTCTATTGTTGTTGACGAGGTATTTCGTACTGCTGACTTGGAAGCTAGTGGTTACACAGAACACCTACGTGTTGCGGACTAACACGTCGGGTCGTTCCGGTTGAGGAATGTGAAGCTGAAAGTCAGTGGCTAAAGCACATGACCTCTCGCATGTGACGTTCGTAATGTGCAAAGTACCACTCAGCCTTCCCAAATACGGGCGTTTTAGATTTGGTATATCTGAAAGTCGACTGGCTCGACAAAGTGTGGTTCTCACCTTGATCAAGTTTCATCGCTGCCATCCGCTCGACAAGTGATGCTGTTGCGAGCTCCCCGACGTACCGGCTCATTTTGACGTAGAGCTGGCCTTCAACAATGAAGTCGAGGCCCGGAGAGAATGCCTTGGGGGCTGGACGAGCTCGAGTGGTGGCTGAGAAGGCCCAAATCGTTGGCTGCCTGTCTCGGGACTGTGAAACTGGTCCCCTCCGTTCATGTACCTCGACCAAATCGTCCATTGACCAACCCAGTGCCCGCATCCCCCACCACCAGGTATGCCGTAGACTGATGGGGTGTGGTAAACGTGACTTGTTTTCAGTTGGCTTCATTGAATGACGACGCGATGTAGCAGGTTGTTTCTAGCCGCGCGGTAGAGGAGGCCAGTCTGCCCTTGTATCCTTCTGGTGCGGGCTGGTTGCTGTCTGAATAACTACCTGTACAAATACCGTAACCTAATAATACGAAGTAAAGAGATGCTCCTACCATTTTGGGTCGTTGTTCTGATTCCACTGGCATGGTCCATGTCCAGCTGTCTTGCCCCACCCAGCCTGCCAGCTGAATGAGTGGTGGGGGGAGGGGCAGCAAATGTCGGTCTTGGACATGGCATGCTCCCGCTTCGCGGCAAGGATCTCCGAGAATCGACGGGATTGATGAGCCCATCGGGGCTAGGAGTCAAAAAAAAAAGGAGCTAGAGGCTCACCTGCGTCATTGAACCGTGAACAACAACAAGGTCCAATCGCGCGCCGGAACATGCGGACGCTGATGCCCAACGCTCTCGCATCGGTGGCGCTTCTGAAAGCATCTCGATGTGTGTCGAGAACCGGTCGAGAGTGGATCTTTCGCAAGCGCTTTGAAGTTTGAAGGTCATGGGATCACTTCGATGCGCTAATCCGCCAGCCCTGACCAGGAGATCGTGGCTCAATTCGAACTCCTATCCTTGATGGGAGAAAACATTGGTGGTCATCTGGGAGGAAAAAAGGAAGATGGAGCGGGCATCATCAAACGAGACTCGGCGGCTCTGAGACGGGCATTGACGAATGAACGGCTTCGGATTGGAGTGGAAGAGGTCGACGTGAGTGGCAGGCGGTGGCTGTCACCGTCAGGCCATCCCGACGCAACGGTTCGAGATTTAGCGCCGCGTGAGACGGGTGACGGGTGAAAGGCCGAGTTCTGGGTCGGTCGGTTGTTCAAAGCCACGACAGTTATTTTATTGGTGACTGGATAACTTAACTGGGTTACTCGCCGGGGCCGGGTGGGCGATGTTGGAGCCGCCCCAACGAGCAGGTAACAACGTTACCGGCGCTGCAAGGCGTTGTAGAGGGGATATCCCGTCCCATTTCAGCCCAGCTCAAGGCCGGGCAGCAAAGGACGGAAGATGGTAAATAGGTAGGGGAGTAGCTGCAACTACAGCCGTCATCGCCAGAGTATATAGGCTATCCTGGACTACCTATGACCTCACTACCTACATAATAACCATCGTGATCGGGCTCGCCGCTATCGTGAGTTCCATTTTCTGCTGACGATGCAATACGGTACCGTGAGTATCATACGAGCAAATAGTGTACTGTACAGTACATTGCATACTTACCGAGCTGGTTGTTCCCATTTTGCCTATAAAAGCTCCTTGTTTGCTCACAGGGGAGCAATAAAGACAAGAAATTGCACCTCGCAAAACAACAATAAAGACTCAAAGCTGTTGTTAATAGGAGAAGGACAAAACGCAATCCTGAAGATGTCGACAACTTTCCATAGGCAAAATGGATGCACCCGGGATCGAACCGGGGACCGTTCACATGCGAAGCGAAAATCATACCACTAGACCATGCACCCAACTTAAACTTAAGAGCTGTTCAAGAACTCTTCCTCTGTTCAATGAACATGAAGGACATACACTCAAAGAGTGTAATGGCAAAAACTGGATGCACCCGGGATCGAACCGGGGACCTTTCACAAGGCGCAGCTAGAGAATGCGAAGCGAAAATCATACCACTAGACCATGCACCCAACAAATTCTTAACAAAATACCCACTTATTACAAACTATACGCCACTTCTAAGTTTGGTGTCGCCTGGCGATCTTGGCTCGAGACACTTCTCGACGAGATTAGATTACAAGGAAAAATCAGACAGGAAGCAGAGCCTCATGTCTATACAAGACTCAAGTCCTTTAGTCAACGCACAGATCTAACAAATCTAATCCTAGGCTCCCTGCTATCTCTTGTGAACTTGTATATCCACCGGAGCAACGACCTCGGTGGAACGGCCACAAGCTCATCTGGAGATTTGCCTTCAAGAAGATGCACCAGCGTATTTGCCTTGGAGACCCTCTCTTTCACGTCCGAATTATACCTCAGCCCTTGTTCGCCTACTTCCGCCCAGCGCCAGACGGAGGCAGGGATCGCTGGTAGTAGTCGAAAGAGATGGTAAAAGCCTACGTTATGTTGGCTCTACGGACACGAGGAGGACAGATCAAAGCCTAAGCAAATGAAACCTGGTGACCATTTACGATGTCGTTTAGATATCTCTTCATACTCTACCTAGAAGAGACATTTAAGTATGGCACTATAAGAGTCCTCCTGCTTCAGACAAGGGCTACAATCCATCTGCTATCTGGTCTGTTACTCGCGTGAGCTTGCGAGAGGACAAAGACGCCCAAGGTGTTTACGTTGGGTATTGAAGCTTCCCTCAAGACGCTTGAAGATGGGCTGATCAGGCATTGGGGACGTTGCCAAAGTCCATCCCCAGACATCCCTGCTGCCTGGTTCAAGCAGTCAAGTCAGGAACACAACACCGCCTTTTCCTTGGACCGCGGACAGTAATGCTGTGAGGTGGTCCGCAAGAACCTGAGTACCTAACCTAGTCTCTGTCAACTTTATCTGCACTATCACCCGGACGACAAAGACTTCAGTAACAGCTGCACTACCATCGAGATGACCGCAACCTTCGTTCGGAAGAAAAATTGGAGATACCGATTCGGTGCCGTATCATACACCATCTGGATACCCAAAAGCGCCTCAGCATGCCGCGTGAGTTTGCAAATAATAACGCCCGATTCAACTGACCGCTAGCCTTCCAGCCCATGCCCGTAACCCCCGGTCCAGCACCGTCGCATATACCGAAACCACCCTACCCGAAAGCAAAACAGCATCATCTTCCCTCCCTCGATAGACCTCCCAGCCCCATCTTACAGACTCAGGTTGTAGCTGTATTCGTCCTCAATGTTCTGGCTGACCCAGAGAATGACCGTGCTACAAGCAAATCATTGTCAGCAACCGAGTCCCACACATGATTGCCTCCTTCAAAACTCAAGATCGTGAAAAAGACAAAAGAAACAGGGGGGTGATGGGGGGAGGGAATAAGACAGAGCCAAATCTCACCTCAGCCCAACAATCATAGCCGAGAGCATGACCTCGACCCCCATGGTCAACGCCGGGAACGGCACGCCGGGGACGATGAACTTGAGAACAAAGACGGTGACGCCGCCCGCCAGCCCGCCCGCCAGCGCGGCGAAGCCCAGGAACAGCACGACGCGCGCCTTCCACGCGACGCCCGAGCCCGAGTAGCTGAAGCTGTCGGCCGACAGCCGGGCCTTCTCGACGCTGTTGATGATGAGCATGCCTAGGCTGCTGAAGATGAAGGGCAGCCAGTCGACAAAGGTGACGTGGACGGTCGAGCCGTTGAGCGCCGACTTGGACCAGACGGCCGAGTCGAGGAGGATGTAGAAGGCGAGGGAGAACTGGATTTAGAGGGCGGTTAGTGTTTAGATAGATTGAAGAGGGGGTGTTAAGAAAGGGGAGGGGAGGGGGCGCACCAGGCCGCCCGCACCGTAGACTCCTGCATTGCGCGCCCAGATGCTGTTAAGCCATTCTGGCCTGCGGAACTTCCAGAGGCGGTCTTCGGACATGGTGGGCGGTTGCTTGCGCGGCGGGGGATGGGAGACCCGTTGGGGTAGGCGAAAGCGCGGAGGATGTCGATTGTCTCGTTGAACGTGGCTGACAACAGAAACTCTTATCGGTAAGAATTTGGAGGTGTGAGCGGTACTCCGTCGATGGTCGCGGGCGTTGTCGTGATCGCAATCGTTCGGCGACAGATGCGTGAGGCTGGTTGGAGGCTCCTGCCTTGGAGCTGACGGAGCTGCTGCTCAGCCAGGATGACGTTGGAACGGCTGGCGGACCGACCCACCTTGACATTTTTGGCGCGGACGGGATGACCGGAGGAGTCTCACGTGATCATCCTCTGGCCAGCCCCTACACATCTAGGTAGACCAGAGACAACCGATGTAGAAGACACACTGGACAAGTAATTATGGAACCATCCAATGATTTCTCTTCCAGTTGACTAGCATGGTTATAAAAGCCATCAAGACTTCTACTCCATCCTAGGCTTTCAAAAGTCACACATGAGCCCATCGATTGTAGCTTTCGCTCGAAAACGCAACTACAGAGACACTCGGGGTGCGAGATTCTGTCACCAGCATAGAGAACAAACAGTCGTTTCACTCAAACACAACTCCTGACGCACTTAATGCTGACCGCTGCAGTTCGCAGCCTCATTGACCATCTAACTCAACTAGCCAGGCATGACGATAGTGGCGCCCGCTGGTTTCGCGAACCCCGTTCTCCATGCAACGAAACGTCTCCAGCTCGCTGCTTTTTGCAAACCCCCCCATCCATCGTAGTCAATGCAGGGTGAAGGTCGAGGGCATATTAGGTGGGTAGGTAGCGAGCAGGCCACAGGTATACTATACAGCAGAATGTCGATCCCCCTTCGCGCCCATCGTCTGTGTCCAGTCGCCATCGAAAGACCCTCGTCCGCCTCCCTTGGTCCGGGCGAAGACAGCAAGAGCACTAGGCAAGGTAAAAAAGACACAATGGTTGTAAAAGCAAGAATCCGGGCAAAAGCAGAAAATAAGAATGCCTGTTGCCCCCCGAATTCGAGGCGGAACCGAAGTCTGTCAAGCGACGCCAAAACAAAAAGCACAATTCCCGAACCATACCATTGTATCGATATTTGTCTGTTCAAGACACCTGCAACGCCGGGGGTATGCCCACCCCATGTATGTTGTGTATGAAACCCGTGCAGGACCCGAGGAAGGTGCTCGCAACTTCGTGACTGGTCATCACGGCCTTCCCCTCAAATCTCAATCGTCTTCATTGCCTCCTCGACTTCCACGGCGGGCTTCTTGCCGCTCGCTACCGCTGAACCGTTTTGTTGGGTCTCGGGCTTTGTTTCGTCGGCGGGGGTTTCGCCGCTGGTCAAAACGGCCAGCCTTGGGGCACTGTCTTTGTTTTCCTCGTTGCTCTGTCGTGGGGTGTCGACCTCGACCAACTTATCTCCCGCCTTTCCGGGCCCTGGGCTTGCCGATCCGGACTCTTCTGCCACCCTGGCCAGGGGGCTCGGCTTTCCGTATCCGGGCCGGATGGGACTGGGAATGGGCGAGATGGGGTTGGGGCGTTGCATGGATCGACCGCGGGGCTCGCCGCTGGGCTCTGTCGGAATGGCGTACGGCGAGTTCGGCGCACTACGCGATGCCGCGCCGGGAGCCATCGACTTGCGCTTGCTGGCGGTGCGCCCGTACTTCTGATCCATCCTCCACCTCAAGATGTCAAAGTAGGCCGGCTCCACGCGCGCCTGCTTGAACTCGCGCAGCTTGAGCTCGCCCGAGTCTTCGTCGACAAACCACCTCCCGCTGCCGAGATCGTCGGCGACGACGGCCAAGAACGCCGCCCATGACCGGGCAACCACGTACTTGGTGTCGTAGTCGCGGCCGAACATGACCACTTGGCCCCAGTAACCTTTCGGGCCCGGCGCCAGATCAACGGCGAGGCAGTTGCCACCCCAGTCGCGCACCAGGGGAATCCACGCGGGGTGCGCATAGGCCTTCTGGATCGAATTCGGGGGTACGGAGTCCTGACGAGCTAGCAGGTCTTGTCTCCAATCCGAGTCACGAGGTGAAGTGGGAGCCGAGCTCGATGAGGCGGCCGCAGCCGACGACGAAGATGCCTGACTGCTGCTTCCACCAGGGGCCTTAGCGGGAACCGGCGGTCTGAGCAGCCTCGGCTTTTGCAGGAATTCCTCGTTGACCTTGCGCCAGTTCGTCCACTCCTCCACAATCTCTTCGCAATCAAGAATCATGGCGCTAAATATGATCCCCGTGGGGATGCCGCCGCGCTCCTGGCCGTCATGGATTTGCAGAGACTCCCGGACGTCCTGCGGAAGGGAACAGTCCAGCTGGTGTTCGAGGTCGTTGAGGTCATTCGACGTGCATCCTTCGCAAAGTTGGTCGAACAGCTCCGGGTAGTTCTCCTCGGCCCACCTGTCAATCTTGCGCCATGAGCTGGCAACTGAAGGGGCCGGCGGCATGCCGTCGCTGAAAGACTGCATCGGGATCTCGCCCGTGGGGCTCTGCACTTCGAAACCGTCGGTGGGGGCCGGCTGCCGCGCGCGTTGTGATCTCATGCCGGGGGAATAAGGTCGGTTCGGCTCGGGCGGTGATGCCCGGTTTCTGGAGCCATCGCGAGCGGTGGTTGATCGGTGGCCCGACTCATCGCGGTAAGGAGATGTGAGATCGGCCCGCGACTCGCCGGCGGTCGCGACTGATGTCAGGCCATCCCTCCCGTTCAAGGGAACGTGACGCCCTGTTCTGTATGGGGAGTCGAATGTGGAATCTGGAGCCGTTAGTCAGCAGGAGAAGGCGTTGGTTGATTGTTCGGGGAATGCTGACGTCGGTCATTGCTGGTCATGTTATGCCAGAAGGAGCGAAAGACGGACCCAAATCTGGAATCGAAGGGAGGTTGTCAGCACTTGGCAGACCGATGAGAGATGGCAGGCCACGCGGTTCGAGTCTACGTACGAATCCATGCTGGCGCCCGGGTATCGAGGCGGAGAGTATTAGCGTCGGGGATGGCGGGAGGGTAGAGGCGGAACCAAGTTGAGGTGATTCCGAAGGGAGAGTGTAAAGTGCAGGTCTTAGGCGCCGCAACACCACAGAAACGAATTGAAAGG